AATCTTGTCCAATTTTGGTCATTTTATCAATTTGTTCCAAAATGTTGTGAAATTGTGCTTTATACTCATGCACACTTCCAGTTTGCTTGAGTTGTTTAAGTTGTTGTTGCAAATATTGTTAATAATTTGATGGTTAAAAAGTGATTCATAGCTTCAAAGCAAAAGTTCTCCAGTTGGCAAAGGCAAAAATGTTTTTTGCAGCAATTACTTTATTAAAAAACCAGTACAAGGTAGAACCTTCAAATCCTGTAGCAGTATAGTAAATTTTGATAGTATTATTATCCAATTCTTAAGTCATAAAATAATTTGAATCTAAAAAAGCCAGATCATAATATTTTTACTAAGATTATCTCAGTAGGTGGGAATTTTTATGGCAAATTTTGAAGCAGGAGGTTGAATAACAATATCAATGGCACCAATAATAATAGTTTTAAAGGTATCCAAAAGCTATATGAATTGATTGTTATTTATTTTTCAAGATGATGTTTAAAACAAAAAGAGGGAAGAAAGAAAGAAATCTTAAGAGTATGTAGTTGACAGAAAGTGTATATATATAATTTCATTAATGTTAAAGTAACAGTTTATTACTATCAAGTGTAAGAGTTTAAATATATTGAAACAGTTTAAACAATAAGCTTGTAATTTGAGAAAAGAAAACCACAGAAAAAAATAAAAGTATTTATTCAAAAATTAATTATTATTTTATTAACTTAAAAGTGAAGTACAAGTCTGAGTTTTTACAAAGATAGAAGGTTTCTTTTTATAATTATTCTCCATTATATAAATAAATATAAAATAAATAAATAAAAAAATATATATTATTAATACATAAGTTTTTATTGATTCTTTTAGAAGACTTATATATCATAAATATAAAACAAGAGATAAAAGAATAATATAATAAATGTTATACACACTTAATAATAATTTCCTGTTTCCCAAATAAGTATAAATACAGTGTAAGTTAAAATTAATGGAAATTAATTTTATCATTATAATTTTATCAAAATTTATTTAAAAATCATAAAAATTTGAAATAATATTTTTGAAAACCTATAGTTTAAGATTACTTAAGACTGTTTTCAAATTTTTTTTTATTTTTTTTTAAAAATTTTATATTTAATATAAGTTAACAAAATTAATAAATCAAAATTCCCAAAGTTATATATATATTTATATATAAAAACATAGTATAAAAATGATTTTTTAGTAAAAAAACATAATAATTTAAAAACTATTTTTATTTATTACACAATAAAAAATTATTTGTTTTATATAAAATTCTATAAAGCACTTGTTTATAATCTAAAAAAAAATCTACTTAAGCTTTTCTTATAAAATATCTTAATAAAATATTTTAAAAATATTTTGTAAATATAGAATTTTTTAAAATTTTCAATATAAAAAATTAATATAAAAAAGATTTTTTATGTTTAAAAAAATTTACATTATTTTTAATTATATAATGAATTTTTATTTGTTTTATATAAAAATCAAAATCTAATTTCTTTAGATCTTTTAAAAACTTTTTGTTTAAGCTTTTAATATAAAATAATATAATAAAATTTTTTATAAATATATTTGTTTATAACAATATAAAAAAATTTTTTTTTTAATTTTCATATATCATCTAAAATTTTAAAAATAAATATTTTTAAATAAAATTCATGTCATTTTATTCTTAAGTTTTAAAAAATAATCAAATAAAATTTCATAAGATTTTAATGATTTTTTTATTTAATTATAAAGTAAAATATAAAGTCAAAAAAATTTTCACTAATTTTGACTCACATTGTATATTAAATACAATTAGTAATAAGAAATAATTAATAATAGTTTAGAATAATCAGTGGATTAATAGTATAATGAATAGTGCTCTATGATCTTTAAATGCATATCCCTAATTTACTATTCACAAGGCAAAAATACATAAATTTATTCTTCATTTGTGAATTTATTGGATTGTCACAAATGTCGTATCCAGACATCTAGATTAGGACTAAATTTAGTTAGGCTATATGAAGATGGGACCTCTGATTTTTCTGATAATTGTGGATTGAAAACAGGTTAAAGCAGGAAAGGTTATATAAAAAAAGGCTTTTAATCTAACTTCAATAAAAGCCCACACCTCCAGCATAACAAATTTTATAGTACAAATCTTTCTATTCGGGTTGGCTGGCTTCCTAAGTAAGTCATATCCAATCAGCTAGTACCTTAAGACTGGATTAGCAGATTTTGAAACTCAATTGGTTCTCTACTATCCTGCTTGATATTGGTACAATTTGGATTGGTAACCCAATTAGCAGAAAGAGTTGGGTCATAAAGTCAAAAAGGAGACTACAGGAAAGATTTTTCAACTGTTGAACAGGATTTTCTTATTCTATATTTACAAGTAGGGAAACATAGTGTAAATCTAAATATGGATCCATCCCAAGGTGTAAGTTAATATTTGAATAAAATAAATGGGTAGCATTAGTTTAATTAAACTGTTTATATAATGACTATGTAATCTGTAAATGATTAATAAAGTTTCATATATATCACACTTAGTCCTTAAAAAATATAATAATAATAGTTTAAAATATTTTATAAGGTTTTGAAAGATTTAAGTATATTTCAGGAAGTTCTGAGGTGTTCTCAAATATTCTGGGGTGTTTCAGTATATTTTGGTTACATGTTATATGGTGCAGCAGACTATACATGTGGTAGAAATTGATAGATCCTTGATGCAATTTGATACAATTATTTGATACAATTAATTGAGTCACTATTAAAACATATAAAATAATTGAGTCAGATGCAATTATTTTTGAGGATTTTGACAATTGAGTCAACAGCAAAATAATTTACACCACATGTATACAGCAGACATAGTAAAGCAAAAAAATTGTTATAATTAGTTTTTGTTGCTAAAGTAACACAGGCTATTCTATAATAATACAAATATATAAAAATTTAATTTGATAAAATAATATATACAGTATATTGTATATATGAATAAAAGATATAGACTTATTATTAATGAGTTAAAAAAAAAGTCTAAGACATATAATTAAAGGAATCTATAACAAGAATCTAATAAAATTAATTGGATATTTAAATGGAACAAAATAAAAAATATACTCAAGATAATCACAAATATCATAATAGAAGTGTTTCATAGGACTTGAATACAAAGATATAAATGGTTTCAATATTAGAAGAAAAGTACAAATATTAATAAAAGAGAAAAAGAAAGAAAAAGAAAATTAAACAGATTAATTAACCTATAACATTTTTAAATTTATAAAGGGGAATTAACAAATAAGAGAAAATACTAATTAAATAATGGAAACTATTAGAAAATTGATTAGACCAGGAAAAAAATATAATTAATTTTAATTTTTTATATAATAACTATAACTGTGGTGGAATTGAATTTAATCATTTTTCAAAAACTATATTATGATAGAATTATTAAGTAACATATAGTAAATAATTGAAATTCTTATTTAATTTGAAATTGTATTGTCAATCAAATTTCTTTTTATAATAATATAACCACATGTATTATAATAACAATACTAGCAAAACTTTGATATATTAGCTTGACATTCATTTAAAAGATAAGTTAATAGCAACAAGTCAATATAAAAGAAATTTGATATAATTTAATATGCATCTAGAATAGCTTATAGATAGTAATTTTTATACAAGAAATACAAATGTAAACCAAATAAAGTATGTTAGGCAAGGCTTGGCTAGTTGAAATTTTTTTTTTCAAATTTAATACTTTAGAAAAATAGGTACTTGGATTTTGAAAATCATTATATTTTTCTCAAATATTATCTCAATTTAACCTTGAATTTTTTAATTATTCAATAATTGATCATTTATTTGCATTAATATAATAAAAATTAATATCATGACCTTAATTATTCAATTATGGTTTTACCTATTTATAGATAAAATATATAAATAGTCTGCCTTTTAAAGTATTTGTGCAAGTTGACTACCGTGATTCCAGAAATATTATAAGTTCCTTGTGTACACAACTTCCTGTTGTTTTTCAGAAATTTGTTATTAACAGGACTTTATGAGCCTGTTTCATAATTTTTTTTTATAATTATACCAATAGCGAATTTCATCTGCTTTTGTATTTTGTAAGAATTTTGACAACCATGTTTTTCTGTATAATCAAGGTAAGGTTGATATTGGCAACTCAGCTTCTGCGAGATTTTGTTCTTCAAATTGGTAAGGGTCCATTTAACTCTCCTAAATCTCATATTTTTCTTTATTCTTGGCAAATTAATGACTTGTTCTATCTTTAATATGATAATCATAATTTAAAAATTTAAATAATAATATAATATGGATTTAACCAATTCACAGCAATAATAAAGAAACTAACCTTGCCATCGTCAGAAGTGACTATGCTCACATCGTTAATATCATTTCGGTCATTATCATGTTGGCCTATATTCACGCCTTTACTCATTATTTCGTCAGGATGATAGTAACGGAACCTTTTATAAAAATAATGATTGAATAGTAGTAACGACGTGCAAATGGGTTCTTCTGACAGAAGTAATGATCAAGATGATAGTAATAACAAAAATATGGACCCTTATTTCGTCGAAGAGTTGATATTCGAGCATTAATATCATTTCGGTTATTTTCATCGGAATGGTTCTATCATTTTAATCATTATTTTTGTCAGGTCTATATTATGTCGTGATTATTATTTTCGTTAGAAGGGTCCTTCTTTGAAAGCCACTACCGAGTTCAGATATTTTGGCACAGTGTTCAGAACTATATTCGCCATTTTAATCGTTATTTTTGTTTTTCGTCAATTTCAGTTAGCACCTATGTCTTAGTTACAGTATATCTGACGATGACAATATTAATTATTATGTCTTCGGTTACTATAGTTATCCTGTAAACCAGTATGACTAAATTATCAGAAGAGGGACTATATCGTAGTTGAGGTGATTATCTAGATAATTATGGTTAGGGAGATCATGGTTATCACGATTGGGAGCATCATGATTGTGGTCAGATACGTCCCCCATTTGGCCCCGCAATCTGCAAGATTCTTTTTCTATAAAATAATGTTAAATATTGCTAGGTCTGTGACTAAACTTTAAATATAGAATATAAAATTAGACGCCTTTTTAAAGTTTTATAAATCAAATACGATCAAAAGGTCGACAAACCTCTTCTCGCATTGTCTGATACTATCAATTATAAGAATAATAAATGGGGTTAGTGGGATTTCCTTAATAAATCCCTTTATACGGAATAAGTGATAATAAAGGAAATAAACTCTTTAAATCAAGAAGCTTGACTACCAAGTAGTACCAGTCAAAAAGACAGTTGCTATTATTCGAGTACCCAAGTTAAGAGCACCTGGAACGAGTACCAGTATCAAAACTCAACAGTTCTCCTGATCAGCATGGTAGATAACCAAACCGGGGTAAACCTTTTCTTTTTCAAAAGAGACGCATCTTTTCCAATTAGTTCTGTAAAAAGTATTTGATTCCAGTAGTTCCTATGCCTTATTTAAAAATCGGTCAGTCCAAACTTTATTGACTCCAATTATCTTTAGGTGGTGATAAAATGATAGGAGGCAAGGACCGAAAATCCTCGATAGACTAAAACCGAAATTTTTGTGAAATTAAATCAAAATGAAATTTACTATCGTGATATGATAGTTTAAAAAAAAAAAAAGGTGATAAACGCGTACGCAAAGATCTTAAATGCAAAACACGTACCGGCGATCACTGATTTTTTGGAAATATCTTCTAATACTGTCATATTTAATAAATGCATATCTCTTTTTTATATAAAATTTTTCAATAAATTATATTTTTTAAGAATTCTTTGTTGCATGTATCGTGATATAATAAAAGATTCTTTTTTTTTTAAAAAAAAAAAAATAAATTAAATAATAAATAAATAAATAATTTTTTTTTTATTAAATCCAACATTCATATAAAAAATATTTGAATAAAAATAATTTTTTGCAAGTTATCTAATACAGAAATATACTGTATATACATATAAAATAGTGAAATATTTAATAACCTGAGTAAATAATTTATTTTTTAAAAAAAATTATAAATGAATTACAATATATGCTGAATGTATTTTGAAAGATGTGGTAAATGTTTTCTTGTTTATGTGTTCAAAATAAATGCAACACAGTAATTGGTTTACAAATAGTTATTTTAAACCATAAAATTTAAAATTATGTTTGATACCAATACAATATAAAAATTATAAGATATGTAGATTAAATAATAATAATAGTGATTTGTTATTTTATTTAAAATAAAAATCAACCAATAATAATTATAATTAATTAATAAAATATAATTTAATGAATATAAGATGTTAAGATAAATAAAAAAATATTAAACAATAATTAATAAACACAGAGATATAAATAATTTAATGAGATAAGCTTAAAAAATAAGGAAAATATATGGTCAATGAAGAAATCACGTGATTTTTGCAGATCCGGAAAATACGTTATATAAAAGTCAATGACAAAAAAATTTTTTTTTTATTTTAGTCATAAAGCATATAAGCTTTTTATCGACTCCTACGGGGAAACTTACGAAGAACTTTCCCTCACCACGCTCTCTACCAACACCACCGGAAGAAACGGTCTTTGGCAACAAGAGCGTTCGGAAGAATATACCTCACGAAAAATCTTTTTCTTTCGGCCTCTAAATTTTAAGGGATACTTGTGCCTGATTTTCTTTTTGAACGACCGTTCTTGAATTTTTTCATGATGCAAAAGCCATATAGTGATAGTACTTCTCAATCTAAAGAGCACGAAAGCGAAATACCTCAAGGAAATGTAACTGATTCTGTCAAGTTCGGTAGCGACAACAATAGTAATGCGTCAATAGACGCAAAACATGAACAAGAAAGATCACTTGAAGAGAGTTTAGAAGAAAATGGGATTATCGATCAAAACAGTGAGAAACCTCTCTGCCGGTATTTTCAACGTGGCTTTTGCCGTTACAATGAAGACTGTAGGTATTCTCATGAAAGAAGCGCGCCAGTTTCTGTGCCAAGATTTGGTGTGCTAACTCATCCAAAAAGCACCACACCTTGTCGCTTCTTCTCAAAAGGATATTGTCGTTATGGAGATGATTGCAGATTTGCCCATGGTAGTGGGCGGTTTCACTACGGAAGTGGCATCGCACCCGTTAATGAACCTGATATGTCTCATGGTGAATGGTCTCGATTTCCTGGTGAAGATGTCAATATGCTATCACAAGTGGTCAGGCCATGGGATGAAGATACTCAAGTCTTGGAAGCCCATCTCATTTAAACCATCATTCAGACGATTAGCTTCAACTCTGATAGTAAGTTCGCAATTGTAACTTATTATCTTGATCTGTTTCTGACACTCGGATCACATGACGCGTTACGCGTATACCATAGGATACCGTTAAAGCACTCCTCTCAAGGATTTTCTTATTTTCTTCGTATACTAGCTCGCTTTTGATTTTTCATCTGATTTATTATTATTATTTAGTACTATCATTTCTTTTCTCTGCTTTTTAAGTAGGTGGTCGATCAGCCCTTTTTTTAAATGTTAACATCAACAGAGAAATTTTTCATTTCTCTGAAATCTTCGAATAATATAGATTCTCAAGCAAATAAACATTTTATTTTTTTTAATGCTCTATTCTTGTTTTCAACAAGAAAAAAAAATAGAACTAATTTACATTAGTTATTAAAAAAAAGTGAAACCATATGTTCATCTCCAGTTGCACGCTACATACAAATTATGCAAATCGAACGTATATATAATTGCAAAAAAAAAAAAAAAAAAAAAAAGCAAAAAACAAAAAACAGTATATAGCTCAAAAATCACCAGGTCGATGAATATTAAGAAAATATCTCGTTCAGGCGTTCGACAGCATCTTTTGCTCTCTTCTCATTCAATTCTTCTGGACAATCGGCTAGAAATGCGAGTCAGAACTTCTATTAGTGAATTAATCCAGCAATAAAAGTAACTTAAGGTATGACTTACAAAGAAATTTTTGTATCAAAGGACGTGTTTCCAGACCCGCCTCTAGTACGACGTTGATTGGCTCGATTAGTCTTAGCA